GCACTGGATGTGGTGGGTGGAAGAGTCTCTCAGTTGCTTCTGGTCACTTCCTTTATAGCCATCACTGACTTCTTTTTCATAACTCGGGTTAGGTTTGGGTCTCTCTTGTTCCACTCCAAAATACGAGTCTGAAGAGATGTGACAGGAGAAAAGCCAGATCTGTTGGGTTTTGAGTAGTTTTCTTTCTTCCCCTTGAAGGGCTTTCTTCACCGGTACAGAAAGTTCCCCAACTCTGGAGAATTAATGATTCTGCACATGTACCACAGCAACACGAATACTCTGGAGGTCTGAAGGTCACTATCCGCCATTGCTGAGTCTATCTGATATTTCAAAGGAATATTGGATGTGGCAAACAGGAAGTGAAGGAGTAAATTTCTAAAACCCATTGAACCTGTTGGGGAGGGCTGTGGAGAAAATAAGTTGTTTTTAAAAGGTTGTCTTAAAAAAGACAATAACAATCTCCACACACAACAGAAAGATGGTTTCCTGACTGATGGCTGCTTTATTTCTAATAAGAAAACATCCAGGATGGGGGAAGGATTTCGGTCCCAGTGAGAGGTAGTGGAAACTTCTCTGGTATCACTCCCTGGAACCACATGGAACCACCTCACTCAGGCTCTACAAACTGGTCTGCTCTCCCTGCAGGAGGACTACAACCAGCTACGGCCGCTCTCCTACCCCAACACGGACGTGTTTTTGATCTGTTTCTCCGTGGTCAATCCTGCCTCTTATCACAACGTCCAGGAGGAATGGGTCCCGGAGCTGAAAGACTGCATGCCTCATGTGCCTTACGTCCTCATAGGGACACAGGTTAAAACGCAGGAAGGGCAGGGTGGGGCAGGGAAGGGGCGGAAAAGGGAAGGTTCCCAAAGATAAACCCTGACCCTTCCCATACCTCATGAACTTCAAAGTCTACCAAACACTGTAGAACAGTGCCTAGATACCAATTAGAACAGCAGTTCTCAGCCCATACTTTGAAAAGGCAATATACTATTTAATACAAAACAGGAATTCTTATATGACCTTTAAAAGCTAAATGCTCAGTTTAAAAAAAAAAAAAAAGTATTTTTTGAAATAGACATCCTTCTCCAGCCCTGAGGCAGAGGAATGAGGTGAAGGTGTTAACTGCGCTTATTACCTAATATTTTTTGTATCTGAAATGCATGGTTGTTTTAAAATCACAAAATACGTACGAATGTCAAAATGACCCCAAGTGATCAAAACGAGCACATTTTGACAGGAACTCCATAATAACACTCCTCGGGAACAAAGATAGAAATTCATTCTTCTCTACAGCAGTTAGGCCCCTCCATCTTCAGACCTTAGCAAAGTTAAAACAGGTATACCAGATAAACAATCCTACGATTTTAAGCACTTTTGAAAGTGTTTTCAAAGTTAACAAAGTGCTACAGTTTGAATTTCCAATAGTAAGCCTAGTGCACAAATACATTAAAGATTGTTCCAACCTTTTGTATTTTAAATGGATTTTGTTCTTTGGTTTTGTTCTTTGGTTTTTTTTTGTTTTTTTTTAAATCCAAATTACTACCCCAATGACATAGAAATGTAGTAATACCAAAAGGCCTTATTATTATCTGTCTCATATGTTGTCTCCTTCAATGTGTTTCCTAGTTTACATTTTGGCTTGACAAAGAGAAATTTCATAAAACAAAGGAAAGCGAAGTATTTCCTAGTGAAGATATGCACAGATATACAATGTATGTTTAGCTAGAGACAAGTTATAAGAATTCACACATCCATAAATCAAAGTTCAGTCTGATTCTAGTATGAAGGATACTTATTTGTTTGAATGAAGCTTTTCGCCTTAAATTTCAGCTGATAATGTTTGATCATATTGACGGAGCTTGCATCCCTGCTGCTAAAATATGTGATAGGACAGTCAAACACCTTTGAGTTTTTTGAACCTATTGCATAACATAGTGGACTTGAATTAATGGCCTGCCGTGTGGCTTGATCTCATTGGGACTGTGCCTTTTTATTTGTCCACCTTTGATTTGTTAGCCTCAGCAGCCAGTAGCTGCCTGAGTGAAGAGTAAATCCATTAAAAAAATAAAATATGTGAGTAGAGCAACATGCTCATAAGTGGGACCCAAATATGTGACTACATTGTTGTTTATTTGTTTTAAGACAAGAGCCCTCATGTACCCACGTTCACACCCATTCATGTATTCTGGGTTCACATATACAGTGAGATTTTAAAGCGATCAAAATATTTAGTCAAATATTCAAACCTAATCCAAATGTGTATGTTAACTTAAACAGTTCTGTTTGAAAAGACTAATGCTTATTTCTTAAGCAAACCCTTCGCAAATTCCTCCTTGGCACTTGCCTTCAGAGCCTGTAGCACATTCGTTGAATATTTTCACAGGTGGCAAATCTTTATCCCTTGGAGGGTAGAGATTTGATTTGGAAAGGTTATACGCGCGCGCACACACACACACACACACACACACACACACACAAAGATGTATTCAAAAGCAGGAAATGAACTATTATGTACTGTCAAGTAATATAATTTGTGATCAAAACAGTGTTACCTTACCACTGTTAAGGTCATAAGATTGATTATCTTGTATGACCTATAAATGGGATCTAAAAATAAACTGGAAATTTCCCAAACTTCCAAGTCAGAAACAGAATCATTAGAGGAACTTTTCAGCCTCCCATGGTAACTGCTTTGAAGGGAAACATATAAGGTGTGTTCATTTAAAAAGAAACCACTTTACATGCTTCCTTGAAAATTCAACATTAAGGGGGAAAAGTCTATTAAATCACAGTTTAAACTATTTGGTAAAGTCTGACAAAAATGAGTTTATCACATGTGTGTTTTTTGCCAGATTGATCTTCGCGATGACCCCAAAACTTTGGCCCGTTTGCTGTATATGAAAGAGAAACCTCTCACTTATGAGCATGGTGTGAAACTTGCGAAAGCGGTACAGTCAATTTGAATTTAATTTTGAATGTGTGCTTGCTGAAAGAAGAGTTTAGTATATGACAAACAAAGGCTTTGCGATAAGTGAGATCCGTAGGGTTTTGCTTTAAACAAGTACAGCGTGTTTAGAAAACTTCTACTTTATAGTCTCCCCTCTGTTCTAGTAAGGCTGAAAGGGGCCATTTGGTTAGCAGTCCTGTCAGCCAGCGTGGTCTGTTTCTCATTAAGAAAGAAACTTGGTGAATTTAAACAGCTGAAGCACTTATTTGATTTAGCAACCTCTAGAACATCTACTTACCATATTTAGTATGAAATAAGGGAGTCGGAGGTATATTTGTCGATCTCACCTACTTATCATTGGTGTAACTCATTTAAATGACTCTTACGAGGCATTTTGTTATTTTCTTGGGAGAAACTCAGATTAGCATCTGGCAGGGTTGTATTTGTCCAACATCTTTCACTGTATTATGAACAGCCACTTAGAGAGGCTGGATTGTGTCACAAACAGCATCTGGAAGAGTAGCATAGACCAAAAAAATAACTCATTGGGAAATCCAAGTGGCTGTTCCTCAGATAATAGCAACTTGCTCACGGCTGGAACTGTTGTCACGGACCTGTCTTTATTCTTGAGAGCTTAGCACTTTGATCGGGAAATGTTTTAGAAAGTTATTTGCCAGACAAAGTTGTCGTCTTCCCATTACCACCAAGATGTGTACAAAGCAGACACTAGAATGGACAGAAGAAGAGGTAAGTACTGTATGCAAGAGGAGGCTTCTAACTCACATTTCCATAACCTGAATCCACTTCCTCATTTCATCACAAATCCATCGACCTCACATCAGAGGTTTTAAATTTTTCTGTTTTCCCTTTTAAATAACCAACCCTGTAAAACACATGTCTCAGGCAGATCTAGGAGTCACCCTCTTTAAGCCTGTCAAGAATAAGATTAACTACAGTGTCTTTGTTAACAATGTTTCTCTTATTAAAACGTGCTTATAATGCCCAAAATTAAAAAATGGCACACTTAAATCAAGATGAATTACATAAAATTGCATTTTTAGGGCTGCAGTATATGAGAACATCCTACAAATACTTGAGACACTAAACTCTTCCCATTTCTGTTAATAGTCATGTTAATACTACTAGTAGGAGCCGCTCATGGAGTTCTTAGGGTGCTAAGCACAGGCCATCCCCAGGTTACCAATGAGATCTATTCCTAAGTGCATCTTTAAAGTCAAAAATGTGCAACTAAGTTGGTACAGGTGCTTATGGTTCTAAGTTAGCCTATCTTAGTGCAAGAAAAGCCTTGAAGTCTTTTCCATGATTTAAAGGCTGCACATGCAGCAAGTGAGGGTGATTATGATAAAGAATTTGTTGCGATTAGGGGCTGGTTTGTTTCAAAGTGAGAGCAAATTTACATTATATTAAAGGGCAAGTATGAGTTGTCCAAAGGAGCTCTGATGGCAGTGTTTAAGGCATTCATCTGCTAACCAGAAGGTCACTCAAACCCACCAGCCACTCCATGGGAGAAAAATGAGGCAGTCTGCTTCTGTAAAGATTTATATCCTTGGGTACCCTATGGGACAGTTCTGCTCTGTCCTAAAGGGTCACCATGAGTTGGAATTGACTCGATGGCAGTGGGTTTGGTATTTTTTGGTTTATGAGTAATCCATAAATCAATGTACTAACCTGGGGACTTAACTGTATTTCTCAAACTCGATCTCATTTGATCCTTATGAAAACTCTCCCAAACAGATAGTGTTTTTCTCATTTCATGGATTAGGAAACAAAATCTTAAGATTAACATGCCTGGTCCACATAGCTGATAATAACAAAGTCCAGAAATTCTAATGCATGTCTGCAGACTTTACCACCCGTGCACCTGACCACTGTGTAAACTGTCTCCTCTCCAAAACCAGTTGTGGTGGAGTCCAGCCAACTATGGCGACCTCATGTGTGTCACACTAGAACTGTGCTCCACAGGGTTTTCACGGATTGATTCTTTTTTTTTTTTTTTTTTGATAGATCACCAGGACTTTCTTCTGAGGCACCTCTGGCTAGATTCGAACTTCCAGCATTTAGTTTAGCAGCTGGGTACCTTAACTGCTTGCAAAACCCAGGACTTTGTCTCTTCAACTGTATATTTTCCTCCAATAAAATGTCTATAGGTCTAAAGGCTCAAACATTCAACCTCAAATTTTGTCATTAAGGTACATAAGTCTACAGCTCCGTAAGTAACTGTATGCGGTACCTAATTACATTTTTCACAACCAGGAGGTCCCACTGGCTCTTGGCAGGAACTTGGTTTCTGCATCCCTTGCTTCAGAGTCTCTCACCCTCCATCCTTTCAATATCCTAGCCTTACTCGTGCATTTGGAAAACTGTTTTCTCTCCTCTCAAAAGAAGTCATTGCAAAGCCTCCCATCTCATTTCATACTTATTTTAGGAACAATGGCTGAGTTCACCACTTTATTGCCTTTTGCCAGTTTCTCCTAGCAACTGCTCTCAGATACAGAGACAATCATGTTTAGCTTACAAAATGCAATTTAGGAGAAAAACCAAGCAAGATTTTAACTTGTTTCATCACAATTCATGTAATTATAGAGATGCTTTAAGTATCTCTACTCTCTGACTTTTCTGTCAAGGCATTTATAATAACAACCAGCATTTACAGAGTGTTGGCAATGCACTCGTGCCAAGCTCTTTACATGCCTTGTCTTAATTAATCCTCACAGCAACCCCCTGAGGTATGTACATTATCATCTCCACTTTCCTAGAGGAAACTGAGTCTCAGGTTAAAGTCACACAGTTGGAAGGTGGCAGAGCTTTCTAAAACTGCTTTCACCACCACACGCTCCTGCCTTCCTTGTATAATCAGAAAATAAACCCTTAGGTTTGGGGGCATCTTTATACACTGAAGATCCTTTTTTTATTTTATGTGAATATGTACACAGCAAAGGGTACATTGTTTCAACAAAGTCTACATGTGCAATTCAATGACATTACATTCTAACTGTTCTCACTATCCTTTTTCAAATTAATCCACCTTCATTAATGTAAAGTCACTGCCCCCTAAACTCATCTAACCTTTTAAGATACTGTTTTGGCAATTTCTGAAGATCCCTATTTAAGGTTCATATTCGCCCCATAGTTTTAATGCTTCATAAGTTCAGATTTTTCATATCTGAATCCCTTTCTTAGTACTTTTCAATAATTAAAAAAAAAAAAAAACCTGCCGTCAAGTCAGTTCCAAATCATAGCAACCCCTCCTTGGCTTTTCAAGGCAGTATCTCTACGGAAGTAGATTGCCCAATCTTTCTTCTGAGGAGTGGTTGGTGGGTTTGAACCACAGCCTTCTGGTTAGCACTACGCCACCAGAGCTTCTCAATCGCCAAGCATTTTTCATCTATCATCTCTTTTTAGTCTCAAGGGGCATTTGCTTTATTTTTAAAGGATGTTTTCATATCAAACATTTGTAATTAGTTATACTCCAAAGTCGGCTACATTTACATAAATATTTTGTATCAATTTATAAACGTTCATTGATTTGTTTTATCCTCCTCTTCACTAATGTGTTTTTTCCCCTTCAGTCTACTTTTCCCATTTTGTTTTCGTTTTAACAAATGTGTATATGTCCACATTGCTACTGGATTTATTTGACAATAATTGATTGAACACATAATATATGCCACATGCGATGCTACATTTTATCTCTAAAATTATAATTTTTGGTTCTTTCTCATTCCCAATTCCATTTGATACAACCTCAATATGATTTTCTAAGATCAGACTTCCTAAGGTATCTCTTGGTACAATTTACAATTTTTCCCTTTCAGTCATTGGCCTCTCCCTGCCCTCCCCTGCTATCTTCTTCACCCTTCATACATTTTTGGCTTTTTGTTATTGTCACACTTTGGCTTAACACCCATTTCCTGCAGGGTTTTAACATGCGCAGATGGGATTTAAAACAATAGCAACAACAAAAGTTAATGTCAATGCTGTTAATAAACTACAGTTTCTAATACTCTTCACCTGACTGAAAAAGTCATTTTTATCCTCATCATGTGCAGTGGCAGAAATAGTTAAGTGCTTGACTTCTAGCAGAAAGATTGGCAGTTCAAACCCATCTAGAAGCATCTTAGAAGACAGGCCTGGAAATCTGCCTTGGAAACCCTATGGAATAGTCCTATCGGCACACACGGGGTCACCATGAGCTGGAACAGCCTTGACAGCAAGACAAGTCTTACAAAACAATAACATTCTTGTGCTGGTCATTTCTTCTTCTCCCATGATCATTAAAAATCACTCCATTGCTGGGGCCCGAGTTACAGAATTGAGGGAGACATACTCCTGCCCTCAAGAGGCCCTGAAGCCAGGAGAGGAGGGAGCAGGCAAACAAAAAGCACTCCAACTGAATGTAGGTGGTAAGACTGTGTAACGTACTAAGATAGCAGAGAGAAGGAAGAAGCTAATTCATTTAGGGAAGGAGGAATCAGAAAATTTCTTGGGATAGTTGACATCTGAGCCAGATTCAAGAACAAAGATAAGTTTTTCAGGTTGACAAAGTTGAGAGACTATGAACTAAAATTGCAAACAAGGAAAACAGTATATGCAAAGGCATTCTTTAAAGCGTAGGGAGTAAAGTAGCAACTGATAGGCCCAATTTCACCTGTAAGTGTGATTGCTGTCAGATACCAGTTGAGTCCATTTCCAACTCATAGTGGCCCCATGTAACAGACTAGAACTGCCCCATAGGGTTTTCTTGGCTGTAACCTTTATCAAAGCGGATTGCCAAGTCTTTCTCCCCTGGAGCGGCTGAGTAGGTTCAAACTGCCAACCTTTTTGATAGCAGCCAAGCACTTAACCATTGTACCACCAGGATCCTTTTTAATGTGATTAAGTGATCAATAGCAACAATTTGGAGACT